TAAAGCATTGATTTCACCATAATCAATCAAAAATCAATTTATTGAATGTTATTGCATGTGATGACAGATTTCCCTAAATTAATTAACTAACTTTCTCAAGTCAAGTTAATCATCCACTGGTTTGTTAAATTAATCATATCTCTATATAATTTTAAACAAATTAATGAGTATTAAATTTTATGGAAACTTCTAATTTAAGAAGGGGGAGCTCCTAACTCTCTTCTCTTCCTCTACTACCACATGTAAGTTAATTATCTTTTGGTCTCATAGTCTAGCACACGATTTATATTATTATTGGTTTAATCTACGCAATTCTTTCTCAAATTCACGCATAAATCACTAAATCAATTAAAAGATGATCAGACTCCCAATGCATTAAGTTCAATAATATAAACTCTTCATGCGAATAACTTTAATCGAAAGTATAAAATCACAAAATCTATATTAAATTGATTAAGCTACATTGTAGCCATAGTAGAATAAATCAGTTCATAATAAAAATAATAAAATCTAAATCATAGTTATGAACATTCAAATATCAAACAATAGATAAAATTCTAAGAAAAAATAAAACCCAATTTGAAATCAAACTTTTTGATTTTTTATTATTGATAAAATTTCTATCTTAATCTCCAATAATGCTCAAACTAGGGCTGTCACCAGATTCTACTCAGCTCTCTAATTTTGAATTTAAATGAGAATTTATAAGATTTTACAAATTCTAATTGGAATTGAAGTGGGACCCACATCCATAATAACTAATTGGTTAAAACTCTTTTTTGGTCCCTGAACTATTGTACGGACCCCCGATTTGGTCCCTAAACTAAAAAAATCCCTAATTTAGTCCCTACTATTTACCATTTTTACCCCGATTTGATCCTTCCGTCAAATATCAATCTACGTGTCTCGTTACTTGACAGGGAAAACGATGACCTGTTAAAACATTTTGACACCTAGGATGTACAGTGTGAAAAAAAATGAGATGGCAAGAAAAAAATCTTTAAAAATTTCTTATTCTTTTTTTTTTTTCTTTGTTTGTTTTTCCTTTTTCCCTTTCTTCTTCCTCTCCCTTTCCTTTAACCTTCTGCAAACCCTAATTCATAATATTAAATTCAAGGATAACACAACAGATTAAACTCAATAGATATTTGACCCAACAACTGCTGGGTTCGAAACGAAACCCAGAGCCTCACTTGCAGGAACTCAGCAGCTGCTCAAACCCAACACTTGCTGGGTTCGATTTCGCAGCAGCTGCTCAAACCCAACACTTGCTGGGTTCGATTTCGAACCCAGCACCTGCAAATGAACCCAGCACCTGCAAATGAACCCAGCACCTGCAAATGAACCCAACACCTGCAAAAACCTAGCATTCAAAATTGACAAACCGAACCCAACATCGAACCCAACATCGAACCCAACACCTAACACCTGCAGTAATGCCTTCTTCATCTTCATCAATCAATTTTTTCATCACAATCAAACAATAAAATCCAAAAAACAAAAACAAAAATTTTTTTTTTTAATTTTTTGCACTTGGGTTCACAAGGAACCCAAGTGTGCTGGGTTTGTAGGAACCCAAACGCGAACCCAGCACGCTTGGGTTCCTTGCGAACCCAGCGCCTGGGTTCGCAAGGAACCGAACCCAAGTGTGGAAGCCTGGGTTCGCAAGGAACGAACCCAAGCGTGCTGGGTTCCACCAAACCCAGGCATGCTAGGTTCGGTGCGAACCCAAACGCGAGCCCAGCACCAGACGCGAACCCAGCGAACCCAGCACCAGATGCGAACCCAGCGAACCCAGCACCAGACATGAACCCAGCGAACCCAGCACCAGACACGAACCCAACGAACCCAGCACCAGACACGAACCCAGCGAACCCAGCACCAGACCCAAACCCAGCGAACCCAGCACCAGACCCGAACCCAGCGAACCCAGCAAACCCAACACCAGACGCGAACCCAGCACGCTTGGGTTCCTTGCGAACCCGGCGCCTGGGTTCGCAAGGAACCGAACCCAAGCGTGCTGGGTTCCACCAAACCCAGCGCCTGGGTGGGTTCCAAGGAACCCAGGCCTGCTAGGTTCCGAGGGGAAAGAGAAGAGAAAGGGGGAGGAGAAAGAGAAAGAGAAAGGAGAAAGAAAAAAGGAAAAAAGAAAAAAGAAAAAAGAAAAAAAATTTTAATAATATTTTTCATAATATTTTTTTATATTATTATTTTTTCCACATCATCACTTTTTGGTCTTCCACGTGGATTGCTATATGACATGTCATCTGATAACAGTGAAGTAACAGGCCACGTCACACAGTTTTGAACGGAAGGACCAAACCGGGGTAAAAATGGTAAACAGTAAGGACTAAATCAGGAATGTTTTTAATTCAGGAACCAAATCGGAGGTCCGTACAATAGTTCAGAGACCAAAAAGGGGTTTTAACCTAACTAATTAAACACGGAAATGGTGAAAATCGCGTAAGGGGTCAACACCTTGAACAAGGTGCTGACACTTTCTATTCAGCGCACAATGCCATCACCGTGTCGGGTTTTTGTCCTTCTTAGCAATTTTTGTAATGATAAAATAACAGTCCTGGTCTCTGACTTCTGGATTTACGCAAGTTGATCCTCAAGTTTCTGATCTTTGAATTTACTCTTAAAACTTATGATTTTTTTCAATTAAGTCATTTTCTACACAAAAAATAAACATTATATAAAATCAAATAAAATCTCATAAAACTTATCCAAATATCAACAATACCAAGGCAACAATTTCAAATTAACATATATATAAATTTAGCTTACCAAATTCCCCCAAAATTAAGTTTTACTCGTCCTCGAGTAAAATAAAAAGACAAAAGAAACAAAAATAAACCCTAACTCACTTTCGTAAAAATTACGATTGCACTTAGCATGTGCAACAAACCTTTAAACCCCTAGGTCACCATAGTGGACAAGTTGTGTCTTGTGAGGGTTTTCAGCGGATCTACCCACAAAATCCCAATGCAAGAATGCAACTACATGACATGAATGCAAAGAAAATTTAGGAATTAAAGTTTAATTAGATACAAAATCTCAAATATTCAAAAGTTTTCATATACTCACTTAAAGTCAAATACTCGTCCTATTCTTCACACCACTTGTTAAAAGATTTAACTCATGAGCACTTAGTGTGTGTGTGGAAATTTATAATAAAAAGTCTCAAATTTAGACTCTTACACTTTAACACTTATTATTATTTTTATTATTATTTTCTCCTTTTTTCTTTTTCTTTTTTTTTTTTTTCAGCCAAACAACATATTCTTCCTTAAGCCATCACTTATCTTTTGACGCGAATAGTAACATTTGTAATGAAACAACCTGGTTACTCAACAAGTCATAAACTCAAAGTGCTTTGTATACTCATATTTCAAGTCACCGTTTGACGTGAAAGTTGACATCGGTCTCATGCCTAACCCTCAGTTACTAAGCAACTAAAAACATTGGAGTAGAAATTAATAAACTCTTTTGTATTGACTTCTTTTTCTTCTTCTTCTTCTTTTTTTTTTTTTTATGTGCTATTTAGGTGCTACTAAGTCTTCTCTCTAAACCTCTCACTACAAACTTGTGCTCAAGTAGAATAGAATACTCATAAACTTAAACTTTATCACAATGGTGCTATTTTTCAAATTTTGTATCTCCTCTAAGAATTAAAGATTTTAAAAGTTTTAAAATTTTCAACTCAAGAATATCCAATTTCTTAACACTAGTTGGACCAACTCCTAAAAAAAAAAACCTAATTTCTAAAAACAAATTATATGTCATGCAAATATGATTGCAAACTAATGTAAGAATGGATGCCTAAAAGTTATTCTCTCCCCCAAACTTAAACCAAACATTGTCTTCAATGTAAAATAAAGGTAAAAGAAGAGAGAAACTTCCCAAGTTTTGCACTTGAAAATTTGAGTTTTGAAGTTGAGCTCTTTTCAATTAGAGACTCCAAGCATGTGAATTTCCATAATCTCATCCCCAAAACTTGTTCAATGACCTGGCCAAAATCAAAGAACAACAATTTAGAAACCAAAATACTCAACTAATCAAATGAATTCACCTTTTAGTGAGATGTGAATTTCTCCACAATTGTGTGTCAACCTAGGCCATAAAGAGAGAGAGAAAAAAAAAAAGGAAATTAAAAGAAAATCTGAACTATAAAAGAAAAATAAATTTTAAAAAAGAAAATTTTATGCTTGGGTTGCCTCCCAAGAAGCGCTTAATTTAAAGTCATTAGCTAGACTTTCTACCACTCCAAGGTGGTTTTGGATCAGGTCGTAGGACATGTTCTCTCGTTTTCTTGAATCTTGGCTTTTCTACCCTTAAGTTGAATCCACCATAAGATTTTCTCCACATACTATTTTGTGGTGGTTTGGGTTTAGGCCAGCAGATGTGCCTTCCCAATTCTTCTAAGAGTGCCCCATTTGATTCCAAGGAAGATGATGTGTTCAAGCAATTTATGTATTCAAGCAATTTATGTATTCTTTGATTGGGTCCTTTGCTTGATAAGGTAAATCTCAAATGGATCCTCATAAGTGTCTTTCTGCAAAATCTCATCAACTATATCAAGAACAAAATAATCATTAAAATCAGATTTAGTTAATGGAGATTCCTTATTGGACACTTCAAATGCCACTTGAGCCTTTTCCTCTTCCTCCTTAGGGACATCTTCTTGTTTAGTTTCTGCAGGCATAATTTTTACTTCTCCAAGTTGTCCTTCGATCTCCAAAGATAAGGTGTTTTCCTCTTCTTCTTGATGTTTCATTGTTGCACTAGGTAACTCACATTGTATTTTTTCAACAACTAAGTTGAGCAAATTATATCGTTTAAATAAGCAATCATGACTGAAATGATCAAATCCACAGCATTCACACGTGATATTTAATCGTTCTACTAAAGCCCTCTTTAATTTGATCTTTTCAATGACTACTTGAAATCTTTCAAGTTCATCATCATCAAGTTTTGCTTCCCAATTGATAATTATTGCTTCAACTTGTGCCCTTATCTCTGGAGCAAGCCAATGATAACTCATATAAGTACCTATGGCAACTCGATCCATAGTTAGACCTGCAAAAACAAAAACAAAGAAACCAGAAAAAAAAAAAATCAAAGTGAAAAAATAAAAAGAAAAAAAGAAAAAAAAGGTTCAAATTAAATATAGAATTAATCAACTTCCATATTAATTAAATTCAACAATCTCCGGCAACGGCGCCAAAAACTTGATGTACTAAAATCACCCTAACAAGTGAACTAGTCGTTCCAAGTAATATAATGATGAGAGAGTGTCGAACCCACGAGGGTTGTGTCTAATTAAGTACCAAAACAATTAATCTAAATTTATTTGAACAATCAAATATGAAGAAACTTTAATTAAAAATAATAAAAAGAAAATAACAAATAAACCTAACCAAGATAGGAGGTACTAAGGCATTGATTTCACCATAATTAATCAATATAAATTCTGGATTAATATACTTTCAAAACCAATTTATTAAGTATTATTGCATGTGATGGCGGATTTCTTTAAATTAATTAACTAACTTTTTCAAATCAAGTTAATCCTTCACTGATTTATTAAATTAATCATATCTCTATGTAATTTTAAATAACTTAATGAGCATTAAATTTTATGGAAACCTCTAACTTAAAAAGAGGGAGCTCCTAACTCTCTTCTCTTCCTCCACTACCACATGTGAGCTAATTACCTCTCGGTCTCATAGTCTAACACACGGTTTATATTATTATTGGTCTAATCTACGCAATTCTTTCTCAAGTTCATGCATAAATCACTAAATCAATTGAAAGATGATCAGACTTCCAATATATTAAATTCAATAATATAAACTTCTTATGCGAAGAACTTTAATCGAAAGCATAAAATTACAAAATCTATATTAAATTGATTAGGTTACATCGTAACCCTAGTATAATAAATCAGTTCATAATAAAAATAATAATATTTTAAAATTATAGTTATGAACATTCGAATATCCAATAATAGATAAAAATCCAAGGAAAAATAAAACTCAATCTAAGGAAATCAAACTCCTTGATCTTCTATTGTTGATGAAATTTCTATCTTGATCTTTAATAATGCTCAAATGAGAGTTGCCACAAGCCTCCACCCAGCTCTTTTAATTCTAAATTTGGTTGGGTATTTATAGGATTTAAAAATTTTGAATTGGGATGGAAGTGAGACTCACACCCATAATAACTAATTAGACACGAACTTGGTGAAAATCGCGCAAGGAATCAATACCTTGAACAAGGTGCTGACACTTTCTGTTCAGCGCACAATGCCATCACCGTGTCAGGTTTTCGGCCTTCTTAGCAATTTTTGTAATGGGAAATAACAGTCCTGGTCCCTGGCTTCCGGATTTGTGCAAGTTGATCCTTAAGTTTCTGATCTTTGCAATTTACTCCTAAAACTTATGATTTTTTTTAATTAAATCCTTTCCTACACAAAAAATAAAAATTATATAAAATTAAATAAAATCTCATAAAACTCATCTAAATATCAACAATACCAAAGCAACAATTTCACATTAACATATATATATATATTTAGCTTATCAACTTTTTATATAATATTTTTAATTACTTTCTTAATAAAAATTTTCTTAATAAAATAGCTCTTTCACTAAATAGGCCCTCTGAAATATCTCTCCCTATGCAGCTTTCATCTAGCAAACTAGCTAGCTGTGTTCAATTACATCCCAGTTTTTCAAGCACTTAATTGTATCAATTTCTTTTGCTTAGATTAGGGACCCTGTCTCTCAAACCCAACCAATCCTTGCCATGTCAAAATTGACCTTGTACAGTGTCCTTTATTATAGAAACCAGCATAATTCATTAACCCCATTTTTCTACCATACAGATGTTATCTCTAAATATTTGTAGCTGCAAATGGGGTCTCTTTTTAAATAATTTTAAGAACACATTTTATATTAACTTAATGTATTTAAAAAAATTAATTTTTTAATTAATAACTTCAAAACTTAGATTATACAAAACAATATTTACTTATTACTCTTGCAGATCAAGTGGGGACTCATTTGTATTACCTAGCTCATTCTTTTGACTATTGATCATGTTGCTTTGTCTATATGATGAATCCCCAGTTGAATTTAGTTCTATATTAATCATGATTTGTTGGACGTTGGATTTTGAGTTCAATTGTTCTGAGCTTTTATGCTGCTGGTTTTTTTTTTTAGATTTGTCTAACTAATACTTTAAGCATACAATTTAAATTTTCTAAACTAAAATATTTTTAATTAATTTATATAAATTTTATATCAAATTTATATTTTTTAATAAAATATAAATATAAATATTATATTATATTATATTTTGATATTTTATACTATATTTAATTTAAAATTTATATAAAAATTTGTATAATTACAAATATTAAATAATGAACCTCACCTTTTACTAAGGATGGCAATTTTTCCCGATCTCCGTGGGGTCCCGCGGG